CACCACTCCAGAAAAGAACCTGCAGGTGTAGATTGTTAGCAATGGCCACTGCCCTTAGCAAGAATTTGGAAAAACAGATTGCTTAGCAAGGTTAAGGAAAGATGTTTTTGCTAGGGGCTCTGATGTAGAACATCTTAGAGAACATTCGAAGTTCAGGGAAGTACACTCCTAATAGGAAAGCCAGGGACTTGTTGAGGTTGGTGAACGAGAACGGTACCCCAGTCAGCACTAGCTGATTAATTCCTTGTGCCCATTTTTGCCCTCAGCTTCCTGTTATAAAGATGTAGAGATGCCTGATTGATTTCAATATAAAAGTTCAGATTTGTGGTCCTTTAAAAATTTTTACAAGATTACTTTTTAAGATAATTGATTTTCTCTTTGTAACTGCAAACTGCAGCCTGCTAATAAAGAAAAGCTGGCTGAGAAATTACCTTGCTTGCTCACCTTGTTAATTTATGACAAGTTGTTTAGTTGCAGGTGTATCTGGGTTCTTGGGAATAACTTCTTTTTCATGTTTGTTTTTCTCCCATAATACGTAAAACATTTGATCATGTGAAGATATTGGGGAATATGTTTTTCCTATTTATACTCATTGTAATCACTCAACCAACACTAAACCAAACCAAACCAACCAACCAACCAACCACCCAACCACCCAACCAACCACCCACCTTGTCATGGAGGCTGTGGTGTGTCGCAGTGTGTCATACACTATATCCTTTGTCCACACAGCTTTACTTGCAAATGCTCACTGCAGTGAGTCATGGGTCTGGTTCAAGGCCTCTGGCTTCTGCTACACTATCAATACTGGATCCTCACTGGGCCTCCTCTCAGATATCCTGTTATTGCCCTGTGTCATGGAGATCCGCAGATTTGGGTCTGCAAGACCAGCCCTTTCACGTGCTCTAGCAGTTCATAGATGTGGTAGATGTTGGGGAGGGCCAACTTAAAGCCCTGGATCTGGACCTGGGTGGGAGCCTGCCATCTCTCCCACACCCACACCGTCAGGGCAAGTTCTCCAGCACTGCTCCAGCTAGCTCACCCAGGGCCGAAGCTGGCAAGGGGCAGGGCCAGCTCTCTGGCTCTCATGATCTCAGGGCAGACTCAGCAGGCCAGTGGGGACATCTCTACTGTGCCCCCCAGGCTGGTGCAGAGACGGCTCTCTGGAGTGCTGCAGTCAGTGAGGGGCAGGGCCAGCTCTGCACAGCCCTGGTCCCAGCCTAGCCCAGGGACATTTACAGAGCTTTTGGTCGTAACATGAGCCACGGACATCAACACAGATCCCTGCCGCTGAGTGGCCATGGACCTAGATGTGGCACTCAGCAGGCCGGGATGGCACAGGCTGGGACTTCACCTTGGCTTCAGGTGGCAGGGCGGGCTTCTCACATCAGGCTGCTTCCTCTCCACCCTCGAGTCTCCAGTTTGGCCTGTCAGTGCTCAAACAGTCCTGCTTCTTCTCTCCCATCTCTTCACCACATCCTTGTACAGCATAGTGGCTCCCGTTGTGCATAGGTCATGTGTTGGGCAGGCCTCTGGGTTGGCCTCCTCCAGAATAATTTTTAATAAATAATAGCTCAATATTAAAAAAATTCAGCTGTTATAGGGTAACATACATTTAACGACATTCCTAAGTTGTCTCACTTTCAAATATCCATAATAGTTTCAAGGAGTGTTTTACAGCTTGAATTCTTCAAACAGATCCATTCCAGGGCCAGAACATGTGGGGCTTTCTCTTAACACAGCACATGCTTGGGTTGCTGTTGGTATTTCATATGGTATCATTGTGTGTATAAAGAAATCGAGAGTTTTTAAATATCAGGTAAAAGCAGTCATAGTCTCTTGTTTCATTTCATTGCATTGTAGAGACAGAGTATCTATTTGTAGCCTTTGGCTGGCCTGGAACTTGTTATGTAGACTATGCTGATTTTAAACGCACAGAGATCCATCTGCTCCTCCTCCTAAATTAAAGGCATGAATTACAACATCCAGCACCCCACTGATTACAGAACTCACTGAATAACTAGACTGTTCTGGCCAGTAAGCCCCTGGGGTCCTCCTGTCTCTGCCTCCTCCTGTAGAGTTTAGCATAGAGCGTTGGAGTCCTTGGAAAGAGAGTTACGGGTGGTTGTGGGCTGCCTCATGTGAGTGCAGGGAACCAAACCTGTGTCCTCTGCAAGAACAGTAAGTACTCTTGTCCAGCCCATACTAGACCATTCTTTGAGGCTGAGGTCTCCAGATGTCTACAGGCTACACAGAACAATTGATCTACTTCATTTCTGTGCAATTACCACACAGTTTTGAAAGTCTGGAGCCTGCGCAACTAGAAAAAGGAATTGGCCACTAGGTGGTACTTGAAATTCAAAGTTTGGCATTTCAGTGGGAGATGATGAAAGCTGGACCAGCCATTCAAGCTTCATGCTGGAGAAAAGGAGTTTCATGAGGCTTGTAGAAATACTGGATAGGGTGCTTCAGCTGGAAAAATATCTTTTGCTGCCTCTTAGTCTGATAATAAAAAGATACTAGATTAAGAATATAATTTTGACTAATTTTTAAAATCTATGCTTCCTGAACTATGAAAATGTATTTCTCTAAGACAGAGGTTCTCAACCTTCCTAATGCTGTGACCCTTTGATACAATTCCTCATGCTGTGGTGACCCCAACCATAAAATTGTTTTTGTTGCTACTTCACAACTGTGATTTTGCCTCTGATGTTTACGCTCCTCCTATGACTGGAACTCAGGTCTTCCTGCTTGCATGGCCGTCACTCTACCACCACAATCATCTCTTCTCTCCAATTTTCTACTATTTTAAACGTTTAAATGGAGGAGGAATGTTCAGCTGGAGCTGGCTTGAGTCACTTGTTGACTGTTGGAATCACAACTGTATACCAGTATGCTAGGTCTTTTCCCTGGGTTCCAGTGGAGGAACTCAGTTGCTCATGCTTGTAAGTGCTGTAGTGACAGAACCATGCCCTCAGCCCATTATTATGCAGTGTTTAATAATTGCTAATCAAGTTTTAAAATAGGGGCTCAGATGTGCACTTTATAAGGCATGACATGCATTTCTTTAGTGACTCTTGCTTTCTTCGGGTCTCTTTCTTGAAAGGAAGCTCTATCTATCTATCTATCTATCTATCTATCTATCTATCTATCTTCTATCTGTCTGTCTGTTTTTTTGACACAGGGTTTTTGTGTATAGCACTGGCTGTCTTAGAACTCAGTTTATAGACCAGGGTGGCCTTGAACTCAAGAGACCCACCTGCCTCTGCCTCCCGGGTGCTGGGATTTAAGGCCTGCATCACTATCAGCTAAAGATTTATTTATTTTAATTTATGTGCATGAGTGTTTTGCGCACATGTTTATCTCTACACTACATGCATGCCTGGTACCCATGGAGGTCAGAAGAGGACGTCTCTGACCTCCAGAACCGGAGTTATGAATGGCTATGAGCCATCGGTGCTGAGACTTGAACCTGGGTCCTCTGCAAGAGCAAGCGTTTTGAGCCACTGAGCCATCTCTTCAGCCCTGACAATACACATTTTTACAGTGTACACTAAGTCTTAGGATCACAGTATAATAGGAAGGAACTGAAGTAGGTGAAGCCCTAGTTGGGCCCTGGAGCTAGCAAAACAATTTCTGGAGTATTAGCATAAAAAGAATTTCCCTTGAAAGCATATGTACTAAAGGGAGTATCAGGGGCCGGAGCAATGGCTCAGCAGTTAAGAGTCTTTGTTGCTCTTTCAGAGGATTCAGGTTTGATTCCTAACACTCACAGGGCAGCTTCCAACGGTCCCTAACTCCAGTTCCCAGGGATCTCACACCGTCTCCTGGCCTCCATGAGCACCGGGCGGGCATGTGGCACACAGACATGTATGCTGGCAAACACACACACGAAATAAAAATAAATGAATCCTTAAAAAAAAGAGAATATTGTATTTTTTTTTTCTGTTTTTTTCCCTTTGGATAAATGCATGTGTGATTTTTGCAGATGAGTCCCCCATCTCTGCCTGTAAACAAACCAACAGAGTGTCTTAGCTCAGCTTCCTCAGTCTTTCTGTGCTAGAATTAGCACTCCTGTTTCTTCCGGATTCAGCATGTCCAACAGTTTGGAACGATAACATCTTAAGTAGAATTCAGAGAACCTTTGTCAGAAATTAAACACATTTAAAATGCATTTATAAGTAAGGTATTAAAATCAATTTGTATGGCTGTGGATTCTGGTGGGAGTAAAAATGTTGACAGGTGATTTAAAAAAAAAACAAACCCTGACCACCTCTATAAAGCAAGATTTGGTTATCTTTTCCAGCCTACTCAAGAGGAACCCTGCTACTTTGCCTTAAACAGCTCTGAAAATGAGGAGGCTGTGTGCTTCTTGTACCTAATCCAGATGGCAATTTGACAGCTCCGGACAGAACTGGCCAGATGGACGGATGGACTTAGGGATGAACGTATGGAGTAGGTGATCAGTGTTATTTTCAGGGTGTAATAATGCCATCAGAGGAAAACTGGAAAGTCAAATGGTCTCAACATAGACTGCCTCCTACACGGTGCAAGAGGAGTGTTGACCAACACCGTTCGTGAATAATAGCACCATTTGGTTGCCTCTCTTGTCTTCAGTCTCCCACGGGTTGTAATCTAACCCTATGTGTCATTTTGGATTGAGTGTGTGAGTGTGCATGTGCATGCATGAGTGAAAAGCAGTGATAGCCACAAACCAGGGATGGCCCACCCAAACCAGGGAATATAGTCAACCAAATTTGACTCAAGTGGGCTGACAGCCAGGTGGAGAGAGCACAGCAGGGGCTCACATCCTGAGGAAAGGGGAGTGGGTGGGAGAGATTGGAACATTATGTGACCGTGGATTTTCAAATTGGGGGATGGAGGTGGGGTCAGACTTGGACTCCCTGTCTGTGAGTTAAAACCAAAGCTTGGAATGCTGGTGGTGCTCTGAGCTGTGGCTCACAACAGGGTTCCCGGCTGGATCTGGAGGGTCTGTGAACATGAAGCTGCTTCAGGTTCTCATTATTTTGCTGTTTGTGGTACTTGCAGGTAACTTGTCCAAATGCACCATGAATTGGGGGACACTAGCACTGGTTGTGATGTTTAAGATTGCCGACCTCATCGATAGTGACCATTCTCGTGGCTGCCTTAGAAGAGGGCTAGCGATGAGGTCAGAGACATCCTTGCTGAAGGTACCACTCAGCCGGTCATCTTAAGGCACCTTTATGATGCTGAGCAGTTTTGACCCGAGAACTGTGGCTATCATTTCTGATCAAATTCCTTTTCGGCGTGAGTGGCACACATCGAAAGCCTTTCTTCATCGTTGAGTAGTTAGTTAACTGAGGGAATTATTCCCTTAGAGCCTTAACGTTTCACTTCTGGCTAGTGAGTGTAATATCTCCAGCTCAGACCCAAGGCATGAGGCCTCGTATTGGCAGATGGGGACCTGACAACATGGGTTCCCTTCTGGCTTGCTTGCAAGGAGCCATATTGCGTTTTCATGGCCCTCAATAAAATACACCTCTCTCATCTTCATGTTGCCTCATGGTGAAGTTTGTAACAGGGAGAACACATCTTTGTTTTCTACACTTATTATGTAGGCTTTTCTGGTTTTGTGTGGAGAGGGAAATGAAAGTCTAAACAGAGAGGTGCGGGACCACAGTGCAGACTCTGAATAGGGGATAGTTGGGATCTCCAGAGGTTTGCTCGCTAGGCAAGGCACTTATCTGAGATGAAGAAGAAAGCGAGAGAGGACAGCCAGGTTCTGCAGGATTTGTCTGGGATGGGCAGAAGGAGTTCTCAGGAGCAACTGTGGCTGAGAGTCATGAGGTCTTGGCAGGGGTGATGCCTGCAGCCTCCACTGTGAAACACAAAAGGCGTGTGTGTGTGTGTGTGTGTGTGTGTGTGTGTGTGAGATAGATAGATAGATAGATAGATAGATAGATAGATAGATAGAGATGCTGTGTCTGTTATGCTGTGTGTAAGTCTCTCTTTTTATCTCTCTGTGTAAGTCTGTCTGTGTGTGTGTGAGTCCACGATGCTGTGTGTGTAAGTCTGTCTGTGGTGCTGTGTATGTGGGAGAGACACACACACAGAGAAAGAGAGAGTCTGTGATGGTGTGTGTGAGGGAGTGTAATTGATGCTGTGTGTTGGTGATGCTGTGTGTAAGTCTCTCTCTCTGTGTGCACATGTATAACCCTGTCTGTCTGTGTGTCCATGGTGCTGTGTGTATCTGTGGTGCTGTGTTTGTTTGTATGTGTGTGTCTGGGATGCTGTGTGTGTGTTGTGCTCTGAGTCCACAGGATGATGTTGGTTCTCTTACTCTACCATTCTCTGCCTCACTCCCTTGAGACGTGGTCTCTTACTAACCCCAGAGCGAAGCTGGCAGCTAGCAAGCCTCATGAGCCTCCTGCCTTTACCCCTCCATCAGTGCTGAGGTTACAGGCGCAGCCACGCCTGTCTTTCATGTGGGTGCAGGGGATTTGAGCTCATACTGTGCAATGGGGCTTCTTAAATTCTGAGACATCGCTCCTGACCTCTGCAAGTTTCTTTTAAATTAAAAAAAAAATGCCAAGGAGATGGCTCAGCAAGGGTATGTTGTGCAAGAATCAGCATCTGAGTTTGGTCCCCTGAACCCATGTAAAAAATTAAACTTTATTTGATTTTTTATTGTATATGTGTGAACTACATTTGTGGTTGCACACGTGCCCTGGTGTGCAAGTGGAGGGCAGAGGACAGCTCTGTGGACTCTCTTTCTCTTTCCACTGTCTGTGAGTTCTAGGGGTTAGACACAGGCTGCCAGGCTTTCATGGCTGGTGTCTTCATCTTCTGGGTCATTCTGGTGGCCCAGCTGGGATGTTTTCTGAGATTCGACTCTGCCGTGTGCTGATGGTGATGCATTAGTGCTCTCCGGGGACACAAGGCTGAGGGAACACTGGCTTCAGAGCATGAAGCATGGTGGGCTTCGCCTGATTTAGGGTGATGCCCAGCTCAGGCTGAATTAGGTCTTTCTCTTTTTTGTCACAGGCTACTTGGGTATCAGCTAGGAACAACTGTCCTTTTTTTTTTTTTTTTTAAATTAGAGATGAATTTTATGGGTATAAGTATTGTGCCAGCACATGTGTGTCTGGTGCCCAGAGAGGCCAGAAGAAGGTGCTGGGCCCCTTGGAACATTACAGATGGCTGGGAACGCCCCTGTGGATGCTGGGAACCACATGAATGCAGCAAGCATTCTTAGCCACTGAGCCATCTCTCTGGTCCCTCAAGTGTCCTTAATTCATGTGTTCTGAGTTTCCCTGTGTCAGCCTAAGGTTTCCTTTCGAGATGGAGGAGACGCTGGCAGAGGGTGGTGTCTGTTGACCCAGCCAGCGTGAACCCAGCTGCAGCTTCTGCTCTCCTTCGGAAACTAACCACTCACTGTTGTTTCCTGTGTTCAGATGGTATACTGCCCAAAAAATGTTTTAACAATGTAGCAGGCTACTGCAGGAAGAAATGCAAAATCGGGGAGATATCTGAGGTGGGATGCCGGCGAGCGAGATACTGTTGCGTTAATGAGCTGGAAAACAGAAAGCACAGAGTCGTCAAGCCTCTAGTCCAGCCCAAAGATCAGTCAAAAGGAGTCCAAGACTACATGGTCCTGCCCACAGTCACGTACTTCACCATCAGTATCTGAAGGAAGGTTGTTCCTGAAGGCTTTTCCTCCAGCCCTGTGGAATCCAGTGGGCTGCCTCCGACCTGTCTCTTTCTCCCTCTGAATTTGATTCCCCACACAATAAAGTCCAACGCTTTTGCTTGTATCCATGCCTTTCCTGGATATTTTAAATGTGAGTGAGTAGTTGCCGTGTTGCTTGTGTTTTACCTGTGTCATGGGGACAGGCAGATGAAGTGAACGCCGGGAGAGGTGGCAGTAAGTCGCTCTGCCTTCCCTCTGAGGTGCTATTTCACAAATTTCAGGTAATAAAAATTAAAAATAATTTTGGGCGTTTTAGCGTGTGTGCTTGTTCACGTATACCGGTGCACATATCGTGACATACTTGTGTCATGGAGTGGCGTGTGTATAGGTCAGAGGACGGCTTTAGGGAGTCAGTTCTTTCCTTCCACGCTTTGGGTCCCAGGGGTCAAACTCAGGTTGACAGTCTTTCCAAGGAGCACCCCCTTTGCCTGCTGCGAGTCTCATGCCCACCTCTATGCTCTGCAGTGGAATTCCTTATGTCTCTAAGAAACTATGAGAACACACACAGAGATACACATACACAGACATACACACATACACAGACATACACACAGACACACATACATGCAGACTCACACACACATACACATAGTATCTGCTAACAACGAAGAATTCATTATAGTGAGGAAAGATATTTGAACATTTCCTAACATGTACTGGGACAGCTTTGGTGACAGATATCGAGAAGGTTAGGATGTGATACAGACCCCCTTTCATGCGCATCCCACCTCCTCTTTTTCTAGCAATTAGAATATCTAGTTGACACAAATTTTAGACACTCAAGAGGCCTGTGGTTTTGGGTGAGGCGTCATCATAATTTTTTCCCCCAGTTGCTTGGTGCTGAGGAAACAGGATCTCCTGTTTGGACACAGCACCGGACTGTTTTCTATCACTGCGCAAATCTTCCTTACGTGTTCATGAGCAGGTGGATCCCGGCATCTCTCACATTGTTCATTTGCTGTGCAGAAAGAGCCCAGATCAACTGAAGCTGTGCGTGGTGCCCTAGGGACAGAGAAGGCTGAGGAGGTCCGGGGAGCGTGGTTAGGGAGCGGAGTAGTCTCAAGGCTTGTCTTAGGAACAACCCAAAGGGCACCATCAGGTGAGCTCGGCCTTCACATCCATTAAATCACATCCACTCACACTGAGTCCGGGACAGGTTCTGAGCCTCCCTCCAATACCCGAGTGACTAAAAACATCAGATGGTGTTTGGGAAAGTCAAGGAACTGCATTGTTGAGTGGTACCCTGCTCCGTTGGCACCTCCGTAAACCCACCAGCTCCTGAATGCTTGCTGGACGCTTTGTTCCTCCCACTGCCCCAGCATCCTTTCACCAGACTTCATGTTCTCGCCTGTCACCCGTAAGGTGGTGGAGGCTCTCCTTACCCCACCTATCTTCAGCAGCTCAGACTACTGCTGGTGTGTGGCTTGTTTCGGTTTCTATGTCATCATGATAGCTGCGTTGCTCCTGTCATTCTTGGACTTGTTCTAACCCTCTAAGATTCTGTTGGAACAGGGTCTTTTACACTTTAGAAGGGTGCGATGTAGAATAGGGTACAGATATAGATGAGTTGATTTCTTCCTTTCTTATTTGTATTCTTTAAAAAATTTAAAATTATTTATTTTCTTCTCTGTTTGAGTGCATGAGTGTGGGTGTGTGCGCATGGCTGGGTTTGGTGCCTGCAGTGGTCAGAAGAAGGCAACAAATCTCCTGAAACTGTGGTTACAGATGGTTGTGAGCCACTATGTGAGTTCTGGGACCCAGATTCGAGTCCTCTGCCCACTGCCAGGAGCACCCTCCTGCAGCACCTCCACTTGCATTTACTATTTCTTTTTCTTGTCTTATTGTTTTGGCTAAGACTCCAAACACTGTACTGAGTAAGAGTGGCCACAGGAGGCTCCTGTATTTGCCTTTAGATTTTAGGAGTAATGCTATCTCCCTCCTCCCCCGTTTAGTGTTGGCTGTTGTATTGTTATACGTAGCCTTTATTGTGTTGAGGTTTGCCCTTTCTGTTGGCCAGTTGCTTCAGGGCTTTTGCCACAGCAGCAAAGGCAGGGTGAGGAGGGGTGAGATGTGAGGCCAGAAGACAAGAGGCCACGCTGGTACTTAATTAGAGTCCCTGCCCACAGTCAAAGGGATCACAGGCCTAAGGTGTTTTTGAGGCAGAGATCCACTTAATTCCTGAGGAACGAGCACATCAAGTGCCCCCAAGAGCTTTTAAAAGCGCATCTGGCTGTTCAAAGAGAGCCTATGACCCTCACCTCTCACACGCTTCTGCATGGTAATGCATTCCCCTTCAGGCGAAGCATGGCTTATCATCACACTTACCCACACGGGGCAGCCATGGTCCAACAGGCAAGGCTATCAGGAAATTTCTTGCTAGCTCATTCAGGAATAAGCAACCTGCCTTAACTGAGTCCCCGCAGGATACTTAACTTATTATACCACACTTGCAATTCTCAAAACACCTTTAGTGAGAGCAGTTATGTTCTCTGGTCTGCAGGTCCAAAAACTACACACTCAGAGATGGGATATCACATGCCCCTAGTCTAAAAGCGAACATCTGATATGACAGAGAGCTGACCTTAGACATGTATGTCTGATACGACCTTAGACATGTATGGCCCCAAAGCCTACATGCTTTTTTTTTCCCTACTGCCCTTCTTTGCTGAAGTGATCTGTTTTCATCTGCCCATCCTGTTGTGTGAATCTATGAGTTCTGTCTACAAAGACAGCCCTGGGTATGGGAGGGACTGTTGTCCTATCAGTTGTGACAGATATCTACAAAATCTACAATAAATGAAGGTAAGATTTCAGCAACACCCCAGATCCTTGGGGCCATCCAGAACCTGATTTATTTCACCAATAAGACCTAACACAGAATCTGTGGGTCTGAAGACATGGCACAGTGGTTAAGAAGACATGTTACACGTGATGCCTACTTTATTACTGTTGCTCTATAGTACAGCTTGAGATCAGGGATGGAGAGACCTCCCGAAGATCTTTTATTGTAGAGGATTGTTTTAGCAATTCTGGGTTCTTGTTATTCCATATGAAGTTGAGAATTTTTCTTTCAAGGTCTGTAAAGAATTGTGTTGGTAATTTGATGGGAATTGCATTGAATCTGTAAATTGCTTTTGGTAAGATGGCCATTTTCATTATGCTAATCTTGCCAAGCCATGAGCACGGGAGATCTTTCCATCTTCTGATATCTTCTTTTTTTTTTTTTTTTTATAATTTCATACAAGAATAATGTTTTTTTTTTTTTAAATTTTTCTTTTTAGTTACAATTTGTTAACTCTGTGTCCCAGCTGTATCCCACTCCCTCATTCCCTCCCCTTCCCCAACTCCCTCCCTGGTCTCCTCCCTGCCCCTTTCCAAGTCCACTGATGGGGAGGACCTCCTCCCCTTTCATTTGACCCTGTTTTATCAGGTATCTTCAAGGCTGGCTGCAAAGTCCTCTTCTGTGGCCTAACAGGACTGCTCCTCCCCTGGGGGGGGGGGGAGCCTGCCCTTGAGATCCTGTTAGAAATAGTCCTTGTTCCCCTTACTTTGGAAAACTACTTGGTTACTGAGCTATCACGGGCCACATCCGAGCAGAAGTTCTATGTTATATCCATAGATGGTCCTTGGTTGAGTGTCAGTCTCAGAAAAGACCCTGTGCCCGGATATATTTGGTACTTGTAGAGCTCCTATCCTATCCTTTCCATATCATACTAACTCCCCTTCTTTCATATGATTCCCTGCACTCTGCCATGGTTTGGTTATGAGTCTTAGTGTCTGCTTTGAAACACTGCTAGGTAGAGTCTTTCAGATGCCTTTTGCAGTAGACTCCTGTCATACATTCAATGCACATCCCATTTGTCTTTCTAAATGAGGATTGATCATCTTCACCCATGTCCATTTTCTTGATTATCTGTCCCGCCTGTGGAACTAGTTATTGGGTGGGACTCGAGAGGGACCTTTACCTGAAAGGCAAAACGGGCGAGAAAGAAGAATGGGACCAAGCTAAATCTTGTCAAGGTCCGTTTATTGAAAGCCAAGATACAGAATATAAACGAGGAAAAAGGGGGAAAGGGGGAGGGGGAAGGTGAGCTGGAATTTGCATTGACTCCAGCTCAAAGGGGGGCTGTTAGTGGAGCTGTCTGAGGGCTACTATCTTGCAAATTCCCTCAGTAAGCCTTTTCTGCGCTAATCTATTCCTGTCGTCTTGACTCAATATTTTTCTAAGGGAGGAATCCTTTGACTCCCAGCCCAGGGTCGGTCGGAGGGACTCTCTGTCTCTGACTCAGGGTCAATCTGAGAGATTTCTCTGGCTCATGGCTCAGGGTCAGTCTTTGGCAATTATTTTCTTTAGGTGTGTAGATTTCATTATGTTTATCATATCTTGTAGGTCTATATAAGCGAGTATATACCAAGTTTGTCTTTCTCCTTCTGGGATACTTCACTCAGAATGATCTTTTCTAGATCCCACCATTTGCCAGCAAATTTCATGATTTCCTCCCTTTTGATTGCTGAGTAGTATTCCATTGTGTAAAAATACCACAATTTCTGTATCCATTCCTCTGTTGATGGACATCTGGGTTGTTTCCAAGTTCTGGCTATTACAAATAAATCTGCTACAAACATGGTTGAACAAACGTCCTTGTTGTGTACTTGAGCAAATTTTGGGTATATACCTAGGAGTGGTATAGCTGGGTCTTGAGGTAGCACTACTCCTAATTGTCTGAGAAAGCGCCAGATTGACTTCCAAAGTGGTTGTACCAGTTTACATTCCCACCAGCAATGGAGGAGGGTTCCTTTTTCTCCACAACCTCTCCAGCATGTGTTGTCACTTGAGTTTTTCATCTTGGCCATTCTGATGGGTGTAAGGTGAAATCTCAGGGTTGTTTTGATTTGCATTTCCCTAATGGCTAATGAGGTTGAGTATTTCTTTAAGTGTT